AAGGGTGTTCAATATGTGTTATATACTTCTAAAACGTAACATTTTATATACACAGTGCAATTTTTCGATGAAGCTTGTAACCATGTGGCTTCGCCACTGGCGCGGATACTTCATTTGTGGTGCCACACCCGTGTCGACACGACACTGACACTAAGTATGGGTGCGAGATACGTAGCAGATCTGGTCAAATTTTGACTGTAAACTATGTAGATATTAGATATAAGATTTGGCATTTTGATTTATCAAAACAAAAGCTATTGTCGATTTCTAGATGTCTACGTACAACTTGAGAATAAAAGATTATGTTACTACACTCTACATGCGACATGCAAGTTTTTCACATAATGTCTCATAATTTAGGCATATTTTATAGCTCTACTTTTCGATATACAGTCAAACCGCTCTATAATAGCCTCGTTTGTTTCGAATATTTTTGGATGTCATAGCGAAGTGTTGTTATAAAGAACATATATTATAACATAACATAAAAATTGGTTCCGAAAAAGTTTGGCTTTTATAGAGAAGTGTTATTATTTAGGAATGTTGTTATAGAGAGGTCTGACTGTTGTCGAATCCAATACAAGCACATGTATTCGTACCTAGATCCATATTCCTAATCTTAAAATTTCAATCATGATGGATCCGACATCTGGATTTGCACCCGTTTGGAATACCAACACCCTGAGTCTGAGGGTTCAATTGCGAAAGATTACATAATAATGTTCTAAACATGCAACAAATTAGTGTAATATTTTGGCTAATCTGAAAGTGGGAGTAAATACCTGTTGGAAACTTTCTTGAAATTCCTTGTCTTGTATATATGCTTCCCAAGAATTGTAGTGTAGTTCGGACGGTTTACTGCATGATATTTATAATATCAATTCTAATCCCACTCCAAGTAGGTAATTCCAATAGGAATAATAATATTTTTTGTACTAGGAAAAAAAAACAATCATATTCGTTGGGATCAAGTAATTTTTTCTATCTGATAAAAAATAATTATAAAGCAATAAACTAAAAAATCTTCCTACAAGAATCAAACATTTGTAAGTACGTGACTCCACGTTCAAAACTAGAGCCTATTTGACCAAATTTTGAGAATATGTTTATTTTGAAATGTGTTTTTTCATAAGAAATACTTTTCGAAAATAGTTTTGGATAGTAGAAATTTATGTTTGTCCAATATATTTAAGGATGTTAAAAAAAATTAGAATATTAATTTATATTTGACCAATCTTTTCAAAAAGTGCTTTTGAGTGTCATGTTACTATAAATATATATAAAAAAATTGCTTTACAAATAATATTATTTAACTAGATAAGGAGTTTTAAATCTTTGTTATGGAAGATTGTAACTAAACATTTTAGTTTTATTTAATCTAGTAAAAAGTAAAATTGCAAAGTGAATTAAAAATTTCAATTAATATAAATATAATTAAAACAACATTATGGCACTTAATAGTTTATACAAGTATTTTATTTTTCAAGATGATTAAGTAGGTTTAATTTTATATACATAATTTTTTAGTAAGGATATTGTTGTCATGAATAAAATTAAAAACAGCTTTTGCTTGTGCTTTTCGGAAAAAACTACTTTTTTGGTTTCTTCCCCACAACAGGAAATCAGCTTATGCTGCCACGCAAAAGCACCTTTTTTTTCTTTCTGAAAAACTTGGCCAAGCACATCAATTCTTCAAATTAAGCACTTTTGATTTACGAGAAGCTTGATCAATCGTGTTATAATATATAGTATTCTACTATATAATATTCCATGGATGATTTACACAAATAGTCTATTTCAGTACCAATCATTAAGTTTTGATCTCGTTTAAATAAATTTTGCAAAAACAAGGCTTTAACCCCTTTGTTTTGTTTTGTTATTTAGTAGTACGTAATTCACTTTAGAAGGAGGCAAAAGCCAAAAGCCAAAAGCCAAAAGCCCTGTTCGAAAAGCAACAAAAAGGCAGAAGCCCTATTCGAATAAACAAATCAAAAGCGGAAAGGAAAAAAAAAATAAAGCAAACACAAGCCTACGAAACAGAGGCAGCGCTGCTTACTCACGGAGGCCACGAAAAGATTATAGGATTCTTTACAAATCACTAATTTTTGAATTTAGGTATGTGAAATTCCCTATTGTCAATTATCCTACAATAGTAATAGGTAAGAATTGAATAGTTAATTCCCTTCTTTCTTTATATCAACAATAAATTTTATGTTTAGGTGTGAAACTTTAAAATTAATTAAAATGCACTGGTTGTTGTAGAATCGATTATTTGACTGGTGTCAATTGGACTGGGGCCTACGTATTGGCTCGAGAAGTTTTAAGGTGAGTTGATATAACTCTTTACTAAAGTGGTTTAACTCACAAAAGCACGCACACAAGGTGTTTGATGAATTGCATAAAAGAGTTAATATATACTTAATTGGAGTAGTAAGTACCTATTAGCTTAGAATTATTTTCTAGCTAAAGTTTAGATGATTATTTAGATATATATGCATAAATTTCAGAATTTTATGTTATTCTTATATGCCATCTTCATGTTGAAAATTCATGAAGGATTAAGAACCTTTATAAATACTTTTGAATGTTTATTTCATTCTTATGTCATGCCTTACATTTAAGGATACCAGTATGAGTATGTATAAAAGATTTAGACTTGCAAAGTCACAAGAAGAAGTTTTAGAAAGAAAAGATTTTTGGGAGCATCCTTTATTCTGAGAAGGGGTCATCGTCCAGGCCTAGGGTCCTGACCAAGGCGTTGACTTCCTCAAACTACTTGTGCCAAAGTAGGGAGCACACGAGTCGAGGGTCTCGTTGCTGAAAATTTACTTAGTCATGCTAAGGTATGAGACATGAGCGCCGAGAACCATGAAGCGAGTGGCACCTCGTGAATTGGGCCTATTCGATCAGGTTGGGATTGAACTTGTGCCGATCACACGGTGACTGAGACAGAATTAAGTCAGGATAGTTGGAACTCCCAAAGTATAAAGTGAAGTATATTTTTTTTAAGAAAGAAGAAGAAAAGAATTTCTTTTAGAATATTCATAAACTGCTATTATGCAATTATTTAGAATTATTCTTATAAGCTTTATGTTTTACATGCATTTAGAACTTTTGTTCATAATGTATATGTTATTAAAGTTTCACCCCTGTTGCTGAGACTCACTGAGTACAATGGATGGTACTGACGTTCTCTTTTGGGAACCTATATTGGTCTGCGGTACAACGTAGGAACCGGATTCGCAGGCGAGCAGGCTACGAGTTAGGACTTCCTTCTCTTCCAATACTATTGGTGAGCTCCGCTTTTGTTCGTGGAGTATTCGTTAGAGTCATCTTTATTTAGTTATTTCTTTGTTACTTAGAGAACTGGCCAGGTATCAGTAAAGGCTTGATAGACATAGTCGTTGGGTTAAGATTCAGATGTTTTTGATAATAACTTAACAGTATTTCATTGGTTACTATGAATAAAGTTTTGGAGTTAATTTATTTAAATGTTTAAATTAATCAAAAGTATTTGGTTAGAGTATTGCCTTGTTGCATATAAAGTTTGGAGTTATAATAGATTTGATAAGTAGAGATGGTTCGCTCGGTCATGTTTAGTGATCGAGTGTCGGTCCCGGCTTGTTCAGAAAATGGGTCGTGACAAACTTGGTATCAGAGCCAGGTTGTGTCAGCCATGCCGATGTGGGTCAGAGTTCAACTGAGTTTAGGCAAATCCCGGTTAGGCGGCTGAGGACGCTGAGTCCATAAGAGGGGGTGTATGTAACACCCCAGGCTTTAGACAGAGTCCAACATTGGCAAAACACAAGAGGGATGCTAGGTATATAAGTTAACAAGCCTTAGACCCTAGCGATGCGTTTTAAACCCGTGAGGGCCTAGGCCCAGAGCGGACAATATCACTAGCGGGCTGGGCTGTTACATATGTAACATTATTTTCTCAGTTAGTTGCAACAATCTAATTGTTACCATTATATATTCAATACGGTCAAATACAAGGCTAGACATCAATATACATCAAGACTGCTATTTTCTTTTTAATGACCGAAAAATTCATCTGGGCCATTCCTCAAGACCAAACGCGGCCTTCAAAACTTGGGGATAATAGGCCTGCCTCTCTACCCTTCTTCGCTTAAATACGAATCATAGTTCGCATGGCACAGGGATTAAACCTTTGAAGTCACAATTCCCTCAACCAAACTTTGCAACTTGAACTAAGCCTTGGGGGCAAGCGTAAAGATTATCTATTCTATATCACTGAAATTGAAGGGAAGAAAGAAATTAAGCTTCCATGAACTAGAAAGAAAGAAAGGCAAGAGGAAAGAGCAAACTGAGGGAACTTGAACATTCGTCTTACTTAACAATTCAAATGACTATTTTTCTCTTAATTTAAGTCAAGGAATTTCATTACAATATGACATATAAAGCATGATTCAGCCAATTCAATTTGGCACCTGCACACTGGATTTCCATAGAAGTGGTTAAGTATAGCTAAACAGATAGAAATGGTTTAGGTGGAAGTGTTCCACACGGACACTTTTAGAAAAGTTGAAGTTTCTCTTCAGTTATTTGCTCTTGTGCCTAATGCCAAAGATGTTGTGAATGCTAAACTTACACATCACACGTTCAAAATAATCTTTCATTTATGTGACTAATTCGGCAAATTGAAGGGGAGCATTAGCGTAACTGGTAAAGTTGTTGCCATAAGATCACGAGTTTGAACCATGAAAACAACTTCTTGCAGAAATGCAGAGTAAGGTTGCGTACAATAGACCCTTGTGGTCTGGTCCTTCCCCGGACCCTGGGCATAGCGGGAGCTTAGTGCACCGGGTTGTCCTTTTTAATTCGATAAATTAATTAACTTAAAGAACCGCCTCAAACTCATCGCTCAGCAGTTCAGAGTTGAGTGTCAACAAAAAACACCATAGCCACCTTTCAAGCTGGGGGTGGAAAAAGCTCATTCACCTCAAGTAGGTTCAGACTCAACTCAGTAACCAAGTATATGAGTAATTAAATGGCATAATACTAACATTATCATTAAATTGTTGAATCATTGTCAAATATAGACTTGTCAAGGAAAACTCTGAACCTTAGGACCAAAAAAGAGCTCCCAAGAGAGAATATCAAAACGCTTTGCTATACAAAACCACACAAGCTATGCTGACTACAACACGACCTTAACAGAAGCGCGACATTTTGGACACAAGATTTGACAAACCATATTACTTGGACAGGTTCCATATCCAAATACAAGTGAACTTCTCTATACAGCTTGCTCTTTTTATTTTTCACTTTTTATTGCAAATCCTGTAGATCCTGAACATAGAGTAGTGAATGGAGAACCAGAATGCTGCACCAATTTGGTGCAGGAACTCAACCATGTAGCAACTATATCAGCAAATGGCAGAGGAGAGGATAGTGCAGAGAGCGTAGCTGACCTCAAAAGTGACTAGCTGAGGTTCACCGTTTGGGCTCATTTAACGTCTTACCCTCAAAGAATTCACCAAGCATGCGGTCAAGATCTTCAGCTGAATATCTGATGTACTTTTGGGAGTTTTTACCACTCTCAACCAAAGGCCTGTTATGCAGGAAAAATGAGCATTTTACATCATCTCAACTTTCCTATGGAATTAACAACATAGGAAACACTCTTATGTTTCATCTCATATGCCACTATTACATATTTTGTTAAGTATAAAAATTGTGACTTATAGTACTACTTTATGTAGCTTCTAACTATGTAAAATTTATTCAGGAAAGAGTAAAGACTGGATTTACATAATTAGAAGGTTATACCCTCCTAGCAATGCGACTTATTTAAAGCATGAAGCAAAAGAACTCTCTCTGTGTCACACATTTGAAAGATGTCAAGTGATCAAATAATCTTATTTTTTCCGTTTTTCTATTTATCGTCTGAATAGTGAGATTGAATTTGAATGAAGAGTTAATAGAAGATGGAATCACTGAAATCTTGTTTCGTCTTCACTTGACTATCTAGCAACATCACGCTAGAGGTTTCAACAAACAAGCATGCAAGAGAGAAATAATAGCAAAATCAAATAAAAAATACCCAAAGCGTTTAATGAAAGATCTGTATGCAGGCAGCAAAACTTCAGCAACCGCAAGCCTCAATGACTCTCGCAACTCAGTATCTGGAACAGTCCATTGAGTTTGCCTTTGATGAAGCTCTTCGAACTGCACATTGAATGTCTTAAACCTGATAAAGAGTACCAAAAAGTTATTCATATCAGAACCAAGATTAGATTATCACTGTTAACAAAAGTTTCTAAAATAAGAAACCTGAGAACCTACCTGTCTTTCACAATCGATCTTGAAACTCCACTACTATTCTGTCCATCAACACTACCAGAGTTACTGCCTCCAGATGATGTTAGCCCTTGAATTGATAGGCATTGAAGGATCTACTCAAGAATAAAACAAAGTGTTGATTAGGACAATTATATGGGAATTTCATATTCTTTGTCCACAGTGATCATTCTCATGGCATGACATAATTCCACCATTTGAAAAGAATTTGACAGTTCAGAAAGATCAGTTAATTTGCACATAATAAAAATTAAAGCAAGGGTAACTTTATTATTTTAAACAAGTTAAGGTAATTATAATTGCACCTATTCAATGTTCTTCATAATTTTATTTACTAATCTAGAGAAGATTTTCCAAAAAAGCGCTTGATATGATAACTAGATTTAGCATTCTCAGATACTTTAACAAACTGCACACCTACTTTAACAAAAACGATGCAGGAAACTCCCCCCTCACTGGAAAACAAATAAGATAAATAGAGGTTCGCCGAACATTGAACTATCTGTGGTTGAATCTACCTAAGCTCTTCCTTCATAGAAACAATCTTGTTGGCAGCAAGCAAAAAGTAGATATGATGATGAAATTGGTAGCAAGGGAAGATTCTCCGAGTCGGTGGGACTAAGGAAATCGATGATACATATAAAGGTTAATGACCAAAGTGAGTCGGTCTATCCCTTTTTCTAATTTGCAGTTATTGTCATGCGGAAAAAAATGATCCTGCTCTATGCACTCACACAAGCTCTTAATATGGGGTAGAAAATGGAAGCTCATCAGATGAGGGCAAATGATTCAAATAATAGTACACTAACTGATCAATCACCATAATCATAAATGAGACATGAAGCTGCAAAATAGAGCATATTCAGTAAAAGCTATAACCCATAAGCAAGAAATGAAGCAGCGAAAAAAAGTAAATCAGGATGAATGCCCATTCAACTGCACCCCCCGGCCTTTTCTTGAGGAAGGGAGTTGGAAGGAAGAAAAGCGAGCTGAGCAATACCTTTGCCCAAGCAATTCTTTTATATTGATTTGCATGTTGTTGTACAACTCTCCGGTGTCTTTGCACCCAGTCATCCCCTAATAAATCTTTGGCTTCAGACCTGGAGGCAACAAAAGGATCAGCACCCAACCATAAGTAATCAGAAAACCTTTGAGGTCATCATCAGCATCCTGATGTATAGTTAATTTAACAAACCTGCGCACAGATCTGACCATATAGTGAATATTGTTCATAAGGAACAAGTGAGTCAGAGCAGGATCCTTATACTGCTTAGATTTCCCGTCTAAATTGGTTTGAAGAGCCTGCATTATACGCATAGTAACAGCAGCTAGCTGTGAATTTGAATCTCCTCCATTTTCAAATTCTTGGAATAGTTGCTTCAATGTTGATTGATAGCTGAAACAAAAACATTATGCAACTCGTCAAGGCAATTATGTCAACAAAGACTGACAGCTTATCTACAGGCAGTTCCTTTCCTCAAAACAAAAACAAAAAAAAAAAAAATTCCAATTCCTATGTGCTCTTCTACCGCAGATGTTTGCTCCAGAATAAAACCAAAAAACCTGGAGAAGCATTTTCAGAATAGCCTCACAAGTCGTGGGTTCGAGCCCCACAGTGGGCGCCGTCCTTAAATATATAAGTGAATAAGCTTCACAAGTGACGGTGCCGGGAAAAGCTATTTGATTTTATTTATTGCTGTATAAAGTACTTCTGCTTACTGTATAAACACATACACACACACACACACACACACAGAGAGAGAGAGAGAGAGAGAGAGAGCAGCATATGATGGCGTGTCCTCAGTTACATATTTTGGAGAAAATGACACAAAATACTCCACGATTGTGCAGGTCAGATAATGATAAAGCAGAAACCACTCTACTGTTTCTGACCAAATAATTTAAAGACAGCTACTCTGCCCACAGAAAATCCAGGAATAAATAGTTTCTGATAACTTATCCAGGAGTAAATAATACTCACATTAGTATTTTATTCTTACATTCCAGACAAACGACCAAACACATCTTGCTATTGCCGAATAAAGGTTTCAATCGGTCTGTTGAATAATAACATGTGCATTATGATCAACTTCCTTTGAAATATTCTTTTTTGAACTTATTACCTCATTCCATGAAATGGACCTGACTTGAGTGTAATAGATACAGAGGATTCATAATCAACTTATTTGGAAGAGGCATCGTTCATTGATATTGCCTCATTCCACGTACCCTTTTTAGTCTTCTTCCTCCAGAACTTTTGCACTCACGATTATTTCATAAACCTAAAACTACAGAATCTACAGTTCTCTTAAAATAGGAATCAGTTGCCCTTATAGTACATAGTAATTGCCCATTTATTTTATAAATCCTTTTGAAATCTGACAAATGCTCTCATCACTAATCTCTGTGACCAACTAACTTCACACCTGTCTCATTGATTCCCTGAGATCTGAATTATGCAACCCACTGAACTAGTACCTCATCAGTGTTGTAAGGGAAAGTGCTACCCACCCTCTCACTATATGCAACCAGTCATCTTCCAGTTTCTACTAATGCCACCTCCCATCAGATACTGCCTATTAATCACTGAGCTTGACCACCTAGCTTATTCATCTTTAGGCATCTCCTTTTCTATAAAATTACTTTCTCATATGTAATGTGTATACTGAATGCCTTAAAGCTATGAAGAAGAAACTATTTCGACATAAGTATTATCAACAAAAAAAACTTTTGAGCTGATCGTCTGTTCTCTCTATGCTTAGCATTGACATAACAGCAACATGAGGTTCAAGACCTCATACTCTATTTGTTTCTCATAACATAAATGTTAAGTGAAGCTCAGTCTGGAGGATGATCAAATGCAGAGANAAATGTAAGGACGGTGATCTGTGAATGAATGAAAATGGACAATATATCTTCTACTTAACCAGTAACCACTACCAGAAATAAATCAGCTACCACTAACCTCCTAGCTTAACAGCCTAAATCAACTTCTTAATTTAGCAACGACTACTTGCTGCTATTTATAATGCATACAAGCATCGGTACAATCGGACTGCAACTGGCTGTCACTATGGCATTCCTCATCTGCAATAATAAACATCCCACCAGATTCATTGTTCCTTAAATCTGAGGCATCAGAAAACTCTGACCAAACAAAGCAAAAGGGTATTCTGCAATTTTGCAGTCAAGCAAAATTTGATTAAGGTCTTTCCTAAAATATACGCTAATCCAGTAGGTATGTGAATCCTCAAAACCTTAAAGACCCTTCACATTAACCCTCATGCCCAAAATTGTGATTAGTGTTTTACAGTTCTCCATATATGAATCCTGAGGCCCGACATATTGCTACTGCAGTTCTTAGTTTAAAAAGTTGCAACTAACCAGTTCCTTTGCATGGTTCTATATGGTATCATGAGTATAATGATACTTATTCATCCACCCTCGAAGCTGAAAACCCAAAGAAATACAGAGCTTATCCAGAAACCATGGCAATTAGAGCAAGTCTTGTCTACTTTGCTGCTGGCACAAATGCTCATATTATGGCACACTAAAGAGTCCCCGGGATATCCACTCGGAACGTCTTCATACAATTTAGTGAAGATGTGGTAAACTAGTAATATACCCTTGGAAGAAGGAAGCTACTATCTGACTTTGCCTCCATATAAACAAGCAAAAAAACATGTTATGTAGTTGAATGAACTTACTCAAACAGGAACTTCACATAATTAATCACATAGCTGGTCAAGGGATGAACAGTTCCATCTGAGACGGCAGTTTTAGTTGCATCCTTCTCAACTGCTTCTTCAAAGTCACTAAAGGTTTCCTGGGCTGTCTGGGCAAGTCGCTTTGTCAAACCAAAGGCAGATTCCCTAATTTCATTGCAAGCTTTACCTATGAAAAGTGATTCAATCTGCAGAAGAGCTCAAATTACATATTGTTAGTATATAAACCATGAATTTGACCCCAAAGAATTAAAGACTTCAATGATTGAGTGTTTGCCCTTGGCCTGTCTTACATGTAGACATAATGTTATGAATCAAATGTCTGTTTGCTAGTATGTCTCGTACCTCTGAATGAAGTTCCCGCATTATTTCATACATATCTAGAAGCACAAACAACTTCTCAGGTGATCTTTTGCTTTTTGCAATTGCATCACCAAAACTAAGCAGCATGGCGACACTTGTGGTAGTAACTTCAGCAAAACATTGATCCTTGAGTGAATCAAATCCCTCAAATATTTGATCACACACTTTATGCTCCCCAGAAAACAACAATTTGACCTGTTCAAATAACACTATAGTCAAAGGCCAAACTTTTATCTAATTCCAGGGGTATTAGAGAAAACTTACAGCAATCCGCATAAAATGAATCCAATTTCCAATTTTAGCTTCCAGAACTTCCCATTGCATCTTCTGAACATCATCTTTGCTAAGTTTTTCCACTCCCAAAAGGCGAAGACTTTCTTCCAGGACAGGAGAACGTGTATCCCTATCGGGACATTTAGAATCAAAAGAATAAGAAAAAGGGACGAAATGAGGAAAGGAATCGTAGCATTTACTTCAATAACTGTTGCAACGTGGATGTAAAACTTTCCAGGAAACTTATGTTCAATCGTAAGAGAATAACCAAGAAACTTTTTCATGTATTTAAAATTTGCCTGAAATCACAGCTTTCAATTCCTCATTGATCTCTCTATATGCAGCTCCACTCTCTATTAACTCCAATACAACTGGTGAACTCAAAAATACCAAAAGTTGGCCCCTAAAAGAGTTCATATAATGAAAAGGTAATTAAACCACAACTACTTATTTCCTTCTACTCTTCTGTTCTTTGATAACTCCTTCTACTCTTCTATTTCAGGTTGGTTATAATATGAACAAATTTGAGGAAACTAAAAGGTCTCCCATCTATCAAGAAAAGGGCATCTTAGTATTTCACCTTTGAACTCTAAGTTAAAGGTGGAATGTGTAATGCTATAATCAAATTGGAGGCTGTAACTACACAATTTTTAAGTAATCCAACTATATTGGAGGTTTTGAGAAAGATTTAAGTTAGGATATATATATATATATATATACTTGTTTTTAACTTGCTTTTATGTGGTATTGATAGTTCAAACTTAGATCTATAGATATGTGGCTTCTTTTATATATCTTTCTTAAATCCTATACTTTTTTAAGAAGATCTCTTAAGGTTTATATATATATATATATATATATATTCTTTTTTTTAACTTGCTTTTATGTGGTATTGATAGTTCAAACTTAGATCTATAGATATATGGTTCTTTTATATATCTTTCTTAAATCCTATACTTTTTTAAGAAGATCTCCTAAGGTTGGCACTGTGATCCCTCCGGATCTACACTATAAGCAGTTTTCCTGAGAAAAGTGGATATGATAATTCTCAGTTGGCTTATAGAAGGTTATTTATAACCTTTGAGTCATCCTAAAGAACAACTTCTTAAGAAATAATTAGATTTAATTATTATATATAAGAGAAGACATATAACTATATGAACCCTCAGGGGTTGGCCTGGTGGCAATTGACTTGAGCCTTGGGGTTTGCTCCCTTTCAANTTTCTATCTAATATTAAGTTAAGGGTTTAAGGTTTAGGGGTTTGGGATGAAGATTTTGTGTCATCATCTTCAAGTTGGTTAAATTGTTGTTCAAGTTCATCATCAGCAACATCAGAAGTGTCACTATCTTCTAATAAAAGTTGTTCGATCTGGTTAAGAACAGACTCATCTAAATCAAGATTTTTAACTTTGTCAGACAACTTGCAGTATTTGGCTATATGACCTGGTTTGTTGCACTTGAAACATTTGTCAGAATTGGGAGTTTGGAAGTTTATTGGTTTATGTTTACTGGGAATGATTTTGGATTTAAGAGGAAACGGATTGGTCTTTCTAAACTTAGGTGCAGAAGACCTATATTTCGTAATCTCCATATCCTTGGTTGTTCCTCTCTTATGAGGTTTTTTTACTACAAAGTGGTTTAGCCAAATTGTTCACAGAAACTACCTAGATCTCGGCGAGTCTGTGTTCTATCTTTGGCGAATTGTCTCAATATCTTATCATGTTGACAGATTTTAAGAGCGACATGTTGAATGAGACTGGTAAGTTGGCCATAGGTGATTCGTTCGTAAGGAATAACATCACCAGAATGCTGATTTTGGAGTTCTTCTTTTACTAAATCCCTAAGAGACTTAGACAATGAATTTTTCTTTCCAATATGGGAGATTTCCATCAGGTTTTTCGTAGATTCGGGTAAGAAAGGAATCTTTATACCATCTGAAATCAGAAAGAGTTTTACACTTAAGGTTGTTAAGTATGTCAGAAGATCTTTCCCTAAAGATACCTAGACTACTTATGAATGTTTTAATAATGGTATAAATCAGGGTGTTGGTTGAATCAGGAATGGTAAGGCCATCGTTAAGAATTGGTTCTCCCGTTGAATCAACTCGGACACTTAAGAGAATTTGGTTCTTATATTCTTCACTAAGATGGGTATCCCACCATCCCTTAAGTTGACCTGTGAAAGCCAAGACATGGGTAGTAAGCTGGTCAGAATAGTTATGAGAGGTTCGGTATGCAGTGGCTACCATAGTCATTTGCTATAATTTGGCCAAAATATTGTATTCAGAACGACCATCTATGTTCCATTCATAGATATTATTGGCATTATAATTGTTTTGCATAACATTGGGTCTTTCTTCTAAGGCTACATCGGGATGGGCAGCTCTAGAATAGTAAAGTCTTTGGGGTTGACGCCAGTTGAAAGATCCTGTTCTAACAGAGGAAATTTCTAGGGGAGGATTGTCATGAAATTGTACTGACTGCGAATTGGTTTCTTGGTCAGAATAGACTTCTCGGAGAACTTGTACAGAAGAATCGTTAGTTGGGGTATCCTGAGCTATCAGGGGACCGGAAGCGAAGCCCCTAAAAAGATTAGGGAAAAATAAACAAATGTAAGGACAGGAAGCAAATGACAATGTGATAATTAAACCTGCAGAAGATACACTTAGAGTGCAAGCAAATAAATTTATGGGGCAGAGCCGACCATGTAAATAAAATGCGATAAAGTAAATTAGGAGGTTGAGCCGACCATAATGCAGAGTAATATAAATGTAAACTTGGACAAGAGTAAAATAAATATAAACTTGATTATTATTGAAACTAAAAAATTGATAATACAAGTTAAAAACTTATATTAATATACTAGAAGAGAGCTCTAACCAATTCTAGAAAGAGGTCGAGTATTCTTTCTCAAATGGTACTGTAAGGTGTGTATCTTACAAGTGATAAGGGGGCTATTTATAGCCAAAAAACTAAAAATTACATGGTGTTTTCTAATTTCATTAGGAGTAAGTGCTAGTTGATGTCATGGATGATGTCATTATGCTGTCTATGCTGATGTAATTTCTGATCAATTCCTCGGAATATTAAATCAGGGTTTTCTTCTGATGACGACGACGATTCTTCATATGAAGATGCTTGATTTTGTTGACCTGGAATTTGTGTCTTGAGGGTATCAAGAATTTTCTCCATTTGCTTAATAAAATCAAGTCTGCTACTGGAACCGGCTAGTTGTGCATTTGCAATGGACTTTAGTTGTAAAAATAAAATTTCGGCAGCTTCTGTTATAGCTAGATACTGCGGATGAGACACAAATCACTTTTCTACTGCTGGCACATAGGCTTCGGATGAATCCCACATTTTGTACCATTTGCAGTGGCCTTGGAAGGCTAACCATGGTAGTCCTGTCCTGGCTTGTGGAAGGAAAATTTCTATGAGTATATCCATGGGATATGAAATCTGTGGGAAAATTGGAGGAGTATGGGTATATTTATTGCTCACTATAAAACTTGTGGCAAAAATAATTATATCCTTCTTTTACTGGTGCTGGGAGGATTTCAGCTTTATGACCATAAGCAGACCACCACTGATGTATAAACCACTGAGGGAATTCAGAGGTTAATTGTTTATTCCAGAGGATAAACTATGAATTCTTTCCAAGTTGGTTTTGGAAGGTGAAAGCATTCATCCTTGCTGCTTGGTAGTCATAATAATTGTGGATCAAAAGGCTGAGAAAGTCTTTTGTATTTGGCTGGATGGGTTCCCCATTCTTTTGGTTAGATTATTTTGTTAATCCACACCGTAGTATGTGTGACATATGATTGGGTCTGCTTTACTTTGTGGGGTTTAAACAAGCAAGACCAGGTACCTGTGAGAATGAACTCATAGTATTTTTGGGTATTTTTGTGAGTATTTTGGATGAAATTTGCTGAAGGGCTAAGTATTTTCTTAGCTACCTCATTGGGGGTTGGAATGCCAGAATTCTAGTTCAATTTGAATGAGTGGGTAGACACTGTCATTTTTAATATAAGTGGGTTCCTCGGGGAAGGAGCCTTTGCTTGAAGAAATAGGTTGTGGCACTGGTGAAGAGAGTGCTTGATTAGTTGTAGTTTTTGGGATGTTGGATAGACATCCAGTACCTGCAATGGGGCTTTTAGCCTCCAATATTTTTTGCGTGGTGCGTCTAGCAACCACAGGAAGTGAAGAGTCTGTGTGACTTTGGGCCGCCACGGGGTTGGAAGAAGATGCGTGGCTTTGTGCCGCCACATTGGAATAATAATTTTTATATAATTGGGTACTGATCTCTCAGTTGTTTTTTAAATAGGCTAGGCATGGTCATTTGATCTTTAATTCCCATGAGTTGGCACCATTGCATGAATTCTTCTTCTGTCCAAAGAGACGACATGGTCTGTGCTAGTTGAGTTTGAGCTTGTTGAGATTCTTCTTCCTCAACTAGGTCTGCCCATTTTTTCGGACTGGAAATTGGAATGAGTCCTGAGCTTTCTATCATATGTACTTGGGGGACTCCACTCATGGCGTAGTCTGATGGCTTTCTGCATTTGGGTTGGCTTGGTCCAGTTGCGCCTTTTGAGAGTTGCTTGGAGGCAATTGAAATGGGTTGTTGTTTGGAAACAACATATGTAGCAGACTATTTGGGCACTGCTTCAGTAATATTTTCCTCCGGCGGAGGAAAAGCAGGTAGTGGGGGATCTGAAATTTCTGCTTTCTTTTTTCTTGGCATTTTATCTCCCCTGCAAGAATTCTCGGGGGAGTTTTTGAACTAGAAATTGGAATGGGTCCTAAGCTTTCTATCATATGAACTTGGGGGACTCCGCTCATGGCGTAGTCTGATAACTTTCTGTATTTAAAAGTTGGACTGGAAAAATGGGCAGACCTAGCTGAGGAAGAAGAATCTCAACAAGCTCAAACTCAACTAGCACAGACCATGTCTTCTCTTTGAACAGAAGAAGAATTCATGCAATGGCGTCAACTCATGGGAATTAAAGATCAAATGACCATGCCTAGCCTATTTAAAAAACAACTGAGAGATCAGTACCAATTATATAAAAATTATTGTTCCAATGTGGCGG